TCCCTACCAGTAATGACCTTGGAGTTCCCTTCTTTCATTTCTTCATCTAAACAGTTCCTTGTCTCTCTGCTTTGCTCTTTCTAATAGCTCCATTATCTTCGACTTTTCTCTCTGAAACCCTCAAAATCCAAGTGATTCCGTACTAGCACCCCACAGGTACAACCTCCATTTAAACTGTCTCCTAAGATTATTAGGATGTTACACTTCCAAAATCTTTCTCTCTACCTCAACTAATCTCTAAGCTGATGTTGTTCTCTTCATTTCCCTTCTCTGAGTATTCCTAGTTTAAATCCCACTGCAACACACACACACACACATGCACACACATTTCTATGCATGTGCTTTGCACCTAAAGCAGCCCCTCCTGCCTTAGCTCTTGTTGGCTCCTGCGCCTGCAGACTTTTCAAATATTTCTCCAAGTTCCATTAAAATTAAAATTAACCTACTTCCTTCCTGCTGTTCTGTGACCCCATTTCTAACTCTGCTTTTCAGCTTACCTGTGCTTTGAAGGCTTCGTTTTCCCTCCAGAAGGTTCATGTCTTTTTTCCTCCATCTTCACCATCACTGGGGTTTCTTTTCATTGGCCAAAATGTACTTTCCCTTTTCAAGAAAACTTCCCTCTCTACCAGGCTACAAAAGGAGGGAAGAGCCTGTCTTGCATCCTAATAGATGGAATATCATCTCAGTTCACACATAGCAAATGACAGGACCTTGGCTGGACTTATTATACATACTCCAAGGCAAGGAAGGAAGAGCTCTGGTCTGGAATTGAGTAGTAAGAAGCAAAATCTTGTGTGCAATGTGCTGCTAGTCAGGCTGATTAGAAACCTTGCTGGACCTGTTGCCTGTTTCTATCAGCTACAACAGGAGGTGAAAAAAGGTCTTAGATACTTCTGAGTCACAGAATCGTCTTTTTCTTCCCTCTCTATTTGTTCCTGGGTTTGTCCTGCTGATATTTGGAGGTAACAGAAGAAAGCCACTGTTTCACAGACAAAAAGACCACGACACAGGCTTGTATCTATTGCTAGAATTGCACCTCTTTCCAGAATTCTCTATATCTAATGCTAGAGCCAAGGCAGAGGGTAGTGCCTGCCAGTGCACACCATTCCACCCTACCCGACGAGTCAGTTGCAACTTTTTTGATTCATTGATAGATTTTTACATGTTTGGTTTTTTTGCTGATCCTTATAAATCAGCAAGAGATGTCGGTGGGTAAGATGGATTAGACTGTGTTTTCTGCAACAGGCAAGGGGTGAGTGGCAGCCAGCTGCATACCTCCCTGGAAAGGCATATGACAAACCATTCTTCCACCCAACATTCCAGAGAGTTTGAAAGCCACAACAAAGCAGCAAAAAATAAATGGGTCCCCAAGCAGCCAAGGAATTAGAAATACTGTGCCATTCTTCCTCTTAATGAATTCCTGTCAAGAAAAATAAGTCAGGGCAAAATAAAAGAAGCAAAACAAGTGGGATGATAGCTTTCTCCATAAGACCACTTTCCCATAAATAGAAGTGTTTCAACTAGAGAAGTGGATACAAGGACAATAAGAGAATAGCAGAGGGCTTAAACTAAATGTATTGCTCACTTCGTTTCTACCAGCCTCCTCCATTAGAGTTGTACATCAGACATAGAAACTCTTCTCCATAGTGGCACAAGATATTTGATTCCTGTGAAACAGTCCTAAAACACTGCACATGACTTCCTGTTCTTTAAAAAAAATGGAACTTAGTAAATTCCAGTCAGCAAAACTCTGTTTCTTTTGTCTTGACAACATACTCTTGTCATTCTGGCTGAAAGATATTGAGTCTAATAACAAATTTTTTTAGATGGCGGCCTTAACCTCAGTGGTTTCCACAGAAAGTGATTATGCAAAACAGTGTTATCATCACACTGGCTTCTGACATTTGAAATAATTTGCTGTGGTTTCTTATTTTTTTTATCTAAGAGTGAATTCAAAAAGTCCTAAAGGAGGCATGAACAAATCAGTAAATATATTTCTCACACGGCAAAGCATGTCTCTCCTTGTTTGTGGACTACTGTGGTGCAAATGTACAGAGTTTTAAAAAGAAGTGATTTTCAGCAAATATTCAGAATATTTTTCCATTCTGTTCTATTATTATTTTTAACCTTGTAACAGCATTAGCACGTTGATGCTGATTCTGCTGAGATATAAATATGTCTTCCTTTTGGGGCATGCCATCTGGAATCAGAGTTCTTTCAAAGAAATGTAAATAACTAGCTTTTTTTTTTTACATGTTTTATCTCTAACATTTTATTTTTATTTTTGGATTTGCAGGTGGCAAAGGAGGGAAAAAGAAGAAAAACAAAAATGCTGCCAAGCCCCAGAAAAATAATGGTTCAAACTGGGCCAGTGTTCCCCTCCCACCCCCTCCTGTGCAGCCACTTCCAGGCACAGAGCTGGAACACTACGGAGTGGATCAGCAAGAAGCAGGGTAAATTTTTTTCTTTTTCTTTTTGAAGAAAAGTCTTGATCAGCAAGAAGCAGGGTAAATTTTTTCTTTTTCTTTTTGAAGAAAAATCTGGTTTGCAGAGATGAGGCCTCTTTGCTATTTTTTTAAATTTTGCTAAGTGACAGTATTATTCTTTTTTGTTTAAAAAGAAAAAAAAAAGAGAGCACCTTATCCTATAGACTTAATCAAGGCTGTGGAGGAGGAATGTTTGAATAGCTTTTCTGGATAGTGACTGAAGGTCGAAATAAAAATGACCTTCATCATCATGTAGGGTTTCACTGCTTTTTCATGCTGAGAACTATCTCACTTCACAGGTAGCTTAATTGAATTCTGTTGGGCCTGCCTGCAGCTGATGGGACTCAGAGTGAGTAAGGATGACATAATCTGGCTCTTTGTATTTTTTCACTGCTTTGATGTTTAAAAATATTAGAGCAAACAGAACAAAAAAAGAACCCACTAAATTGGATTAATTTTTGAAGATCACCCAATGGATAATAATCTTCTCATTGGCTTTTAGAAGAAATTTCACAGTTCAGAAAGGCAAGCTAATTATAGACTTTTGTTGTTGTTGTTATTTAAACAGCTCACAGCTTTCTAGAACATTCCACTTATTTTTGCATAGCTTAAACTTGTTCTCAAGGATACAAAATCACACAAGAAGTGCTAAATGAGAGGAAAGAGGCATTTCCTGAACAGGCAACAATTACGGAATGCTTTTTATGAAGTGTAATTGTATGAAATACCAGGTTATCAAACTCTGGAGGAAAATCAGAGTATACAGAAAAGTAGTTTTCTGTGGTCAGCTCTATTGGAGCCTTTGATAATAATTGTTCTGTCAGGGATAAATTTCTGCCTGTTTAAATGTATGGATTAAACAATATTTCATAAGAATGAAGCATTTTTTAAAAAAATTGTAATAGCATTACTGAATAAAAATATTTCAGGTGTTATCTTTTTTGTAAGCATGAATTGATCATTGCTACTTTTATAATGAAAATTAGAAGAATTCCATATTATTTCAGTTTATAGCAAGTCCCTCACCTCTTAAAATGAGTAGTAACTATGTTAGTCAGTGGTGTTCTTTTAAAAATAAACGCCCATTTAGGCTGTATTAGAGTTAGAATTTCAAATCAAATATAATGAAAAAATTTATCACCTTACTGATTCTAAGTGTTGTTTAAATCTGAAGGCAAAAAGTGCATATAATCATTGTGTTCTGTATTCTGTTATAAAAAGGATAAAATAAATTTTAAATGGTTTCACCATATAATACTTGTCCATATCAGTTTATATCCTTAAAACACTTGTGCAGCAATTCCAGTAAAACAGCTCTGCTATAGAAGGCAAACAACTTGTATTTTCTTTCAGAACAATGAAATAGCATAAAAGGTAAATGGAAATACCTTATAGAGAAATCCCTTGTGACACAGGGCTTGACTCCTCTGTTGCATAAAATATCTGTAATTTAGCTGGAAGGAATGATGTTGGTCACCAAGACAACATTGGTTATTTAAGGATAAGGTAATCACCAGCCTTCTGGGTTCACAACAATTTAAACTTAGTTTTTCCTCCGACTATCTTTAGAATTACCCTCCTCTGGGTTTTTTTTGTAGTATCTCATCAAGTTGCAGCAAGACCTTGTAATATGCATTTAACCAAACACACATGAAAACCTGAAGATTAGACTTACAGTATCACTCTGGAGCTACAGTAATTTGCAACCATCTTTGCTGAAGAATGAATCTTCAATGCCCATACTTGCTCAGGATATATCCAATACTAATGGTCATTCTATATTCAGGGGCTGATCTTATTTCCATGGTTTTCAACATGCTAAAATGGAATTAATCATAGACTGCATTCCTTATGTTGCCTTTAACATGGACATACTGGGTAAAAAAAATCCCAACAACCCAAACATTTTTTAAACTATTTTGTTTTTCTTTATTTGTTTTGATGTACTCTATCTGTGACAAGTTCAATGTGTTTTAGTTTTAGAACTAGTTACATGCAGATGTAATTATGTTGTGAATTACAATTGAAAAATGAACTGCCAGTCAGAAAAACTGAAGACTTTTTCTATCACCTTTTTGTTTTCTTTTGAAGGAAAAAAAATCTGTCAGTGTAATGAACTAAGCTTTTTAATAGCAAAAGATTGCTATAGAATAAAAGTGCTGAGAAGACAATAAAATTATTAGAAATATAGAGAGTCATGTTTGTTAACCAGAACTTATTAGGATCTTAATTCTCGTGAAATTACAATCAGAGGTCCCTAATGACATTAAGGTGCTTAGATTTTAGTAAGTTTATTTGAAAGAAGTTGCACTTTCACCATGTTGGATTTACTCAGAAAACTGAAAAGAACATGGATGTGACCAATACGCACTATGCTGTGACCAGAAGTTTCAATAACTGTACCATTTATGTGTGGTGTAGTTACTACGTAGTCTGCTAGGTTTGGTAGCTTTTTCTTGCAGCCTTTCCTTTCCTTTCCTTTCCTTTCCTTTCCTTTCCTTTCCTTTCCTTTCCTTTCCTTTCCTTTCCTTTCCTTTCCTTTCCTTTCCTTTCCTTTCCTTTCCTTTCCTTTCCTTTCCTTTCCTTTCCTTTCCTTTCCTTTCCTTTCCTTTCCTTTCCTTTCCTTTCCTTTCCTTTCCTTTCCTTTCCTTTCCTTTCCTTTCCTTTCCTTTCCTTTCCTTTCCTTTCCTTTCCTTTCCTTTCCTTTCCTTTCCTTTCCTTTCCTTTCCTTTCCTTTCCTTTCCTTTCCTTTCCTTTCCTTTCCTTTCCTTTCCTTTCCTTTCCTTTCCTTTCCTTTCCTTTCCTTTCCTTTCCTTTCCTTTCCTTTCCTTTCCTTTCCTTTCCTTTCCTTTCCTTTCCTTTCCTTTCCTTTCCTTTCCTTTCCTTTCCTTTCCTTTCCTTTCCTTTCCTTTCCTTTCCTTTCCTTTCCTTTCCTTTCCTTTCCTTTCCTTTCCTTTCCTTTCCTTTCCTTTCCTTTCCTTTCCTTTCCTTTCCTTTCCTTTCCTTTCTTTCCCTTTCCCTTTCCCTTTCCTTCTCTGTAAAATGCAGGTTAGAACTTGTGGCTTTCTGGATATCTTACATTATGAAGACAAAAGTTCTTGTACATGAAATCTCAAACCTCAGTGTCCTGAACTTCAGGCCTGGGCTACTTTCCTTTTCAAACAAAATTTAGGTAAAGACACAGTACTTGTGCAGAATCTTTTCACTAAGAAATCTTTTTACTATCAAGCTGAACATTTGGGGATTTGAAGCAAGTAGGGTCAAAAGGCAAGCACATCCAAAGCTCGTTTATTCATCACTGAAAAGTCACTAGGGACTATCTTTTTGCCCTGTCCCTTTTAAAGAAGAAGCCATTACACCAAAGCATGAGGTTGAGAGAGCAAAAATGTGAGAGCTGTCACACTGTACATTTCTAACAGCATGAGTGAGGATGGTGACTTCAGCCTTGGGTGCAAATGTCATGACTATTGTTAGGAAAGACAAATTACAGCTAGTCATATTTTACTTGTCTGCTAAGGATGAATATGTATCATGTAACATTTTCTTAGATCTCTGTGTTATGAAAATGATAATGACCAATCACTCAAAAGCTCCTAAATGCCAAGTGTTAAGATGCAGCTTTTATTTTCACCTCTGTACATGTATGTGTTTTTGTATCTATATGTTTGTATCTACATATAGACTTAAAGTAATACCAATGTTAATTACCATGTATGTCTTCCACAGACTTTTAGATGATTAAGTCAGATTGTTTTAGCTATCCTGAATCTGTACTTTTAAATACAGACTCTAAACTTCTTAATAAGGAAAAAGTAGTTTAGTTAATTTTAGAAATCTTTGGGTATTGCTTAAAGTAAATAATACACATTTTGAAACTTCTCCATTTCAGTGTTCCCAGCCTTTTTATAACCCAGCTTCACACTTGACAAAATTGACAGTGAATCATTTTTCACTGGGAAATTGGTAATTCCTTCCTTCCAAATCAGAAGCCTTAAAGGAGTATTTTTAAACTGGTTTGAGAAATTAACTGTATCATGCAATGCATTGCCTGCCTGCATTACAGAAAAAAAGGACCTTGTCAGCAGTCCTTGAAGGTGGAAAGAAGATAAAGTGACTTAGACGATGCTTGGGAAATGGCCTTTAGAGTGTGAGTTGGTTTGACAGTGAAGGAGCTGTGAGAGCTTTTGGTTGTCTGGTTGCCTTTTGAAGAAACCTGTCTATCCTGAGTTATTTTGGAATACATGGGGAGTTAAGAAGGAATGTATGCTGATGCTCAAGGTACTGCTGACTGACTGGGTGTTTTGAAGATGGGAAAAGCAGACATCTGAGATGGTGTGATTGTCAGCAGAGCTGTGCACAACTGAAGTTGTGTCCAGATTATGGAATTACTCTGGGGAGATAACACATAGGGAACAACCACAGTCTCTAGGCCCTATACACCATGAGTGGTACTGGTGTCTCTAAGGAACAGGATTCTGCAATGTTACTATAATACAACACTGAATTGAAAAGTCCTGTGGTGAGGACAGAGACCCAAAAGGTTTGACTTGCTGGTGAAAATTGCATAAGAAGTAGGAATAGACTATAAAGGTTCTGTTTCTAGCCCTGATCAGATATAGCATCACCCCTGACGCCTTTGGTATAAGGCAAAAATTGAACCACAAAAACCTATGAGAACATCACTTGCATATGAAGAAAGAAGAATTTGGTATTCAAGAATACTGGTAGTTGTTAATCTTTTAATTTACTTTGGGCAGGTGTGTTGAAAGTGTTCAGGAATTTAGCACTGTCTAGGTAAGTCCCAGTACAGATTGGTTAGGAGGTTGGGTGCTGGCAGGGCTGTCAACATGTGTGCTAATGTGTCTTAACAGCTGGTGGTGTGACACAGCATATGCTTAGGGTCAGTGCTGCTGTGACATGAATGTATTACACATCATAGGAGATACCTCTATGTGGTGTGGGAAGACCAGAATTTATGTGGAAGGTGTAGCGTTTTCTTTAAGCCTACATAATAAAAACAAATAGTTAATTTATAGGAAATTAAAGAGGAGAATGAAAATAAGCAAGTGCGTAAGTGCAAGTGTGTAAACTTGTTCTGTCTTTTAAGAATGCTACTGTTTTCATGTCTAGGTCAATCTTAATGCCTTCTCCTAGATTAATGATCCTGGAAGTGAGTTAGTTCATGGTTTTTGTTGATTGTGGTGTAACATTATCTAATCACCATTAACAAATGTGATAATGGATCAGTAATGTTTTTGTAGCACATCTTGTTCAAGTTGCTTAGCTGTTGTGGGAAAAATTAAACTGACTCAATAAGGACAATTTAAGCAATTATGACCCTATTTTCATTAAATGTTAAAGCTCACACTGTGTGCAAGGATTCCAACTGTAGCAGAAATCCTGCATACCCTCTGCACCCTCTACCATGTGGCAGAGATGAGATTTTATAGATACTAATTTTTTTGTTTTTTATTTTAGATACGACAGTGATGGTTGGTGTCCACCTTTGCCAGTTCAGACCTACCTACATCAGGGCATGGAGGATGAGCTTGAAGAAGATGATGATCGTGTTCCTACACCTCCTGTCCGAGGAGTAGCTTCATCACCTGCCATCTCCTTTGGGCAACAGTCAACTGCAACCCTCACACCTTCCCCACGAGAGGAGATGCAGCCAATGCTTCAAGCTCACTTGGATGAATTAACTAGGGCTTACCAGTTTGATATAGCAAAGCAGACATGGTAAATGTTTTGAAGGGGGCACCTGTAGTCTGGGAAATGAAACACTACTACTACTACTTTATTCCTTTGTGTCATAAATATTGACTGTGTTCAACAACATTTCAATAATGTTTCCAAAGCAGTAAAATGGAAGAAGAAATAGCAAAATTGCATCTACAGTGTGAAGGCCTTAAACATTAGTGCATGCTTTTAAAATCACAATGCTTGGTAATATGTTAAATCTTGTCTAAAAACATGTAAAACCAATATTCCTCTGAAATTTCATTTGTTCAACTAAGTAGGTAACACCCACCTTGAGTGTTGAGATTATTTTCTTTCAGGTTAGCAAAAGGCACAAATTTTTTAGGATTTTCAAAAACAATGAGATTATAAATTCCTGATTAAAAATAATTATAGTAACTTGAAATAGCAATGTAGCAGCTTTTACCCTGTGTCACATGAGAATGAAGCATTTGCATCTCTGACTGTAGTTTGAAATGCCATGAGAATTTCTAATTCATAGGAAAAACCCAGAAATAACAGGAAGAAAGTTGTTAGTATTTACAAAATGGATCTAGTGTTTTAGAGTGCTTTATGCTTATTTAATGGAAGAGCAAGCAAATACCACAGTAACATTTCCCCTGCAAAACAAACAGAAGGAATATCTTTAGGGACTGAAAAAGGACTTGTCATCTGCACCAGGCTGGGGATATGGTGAAGGTCAGTTGCTTCCTGGATGTTCCCTAAGCAGCAGTTGTCCTTTTACAACCTTGCTATCCAGACAAAGCCCACGAATCTCGGAGGAGAGGAGCAGAGCTAGTTACTGAATGGCATTCTGCCAGCAGAGGAGCAGCCTTTCTTCACTGGTAAATAAAGCTACAAAGTTATTCAGCTTGAGCTCCCATAAATAGATCAGGCAGGTAGGCAGGCTGTGACAAATCAGAGCCAGCTGTTTTCCCTGGACACTGTTGAAGTCTTGAGGCTGGTCTGCAATCTGCACTCAATCAACAGGGTACTTTGGCCCCGCTGCAGTGCCATGCTGCCTGTGGGACAGACCCAAATCCCAGGCAGCAGCTAGACCTGGCCTGTTGAAGGTAGCTGTCTTGTGAGCCAGCACACAGATGCGTACCCTGTCAGCACAGTCAGTCGCTGCTGTATTTTGCAGCTGTTACCCTTTCTATGCCCTACAAACCATGGGTGCCAGTGTAGGCACAGATAATGTAGTAGGCCACTGTAGCAAAGCCTCTTGCAGCTGAAAGGAAAGGTCTTGCTCCCTTTTTGGAGAAATGAAAATTGATTGGGAACTTTCATAATGTGCTTAGGAATATACCAATTTTAATGTCACTCGTGTGTAAGGTCACAGTAATTGAGCCTGAAACTCTGAAAAAAAATATCAAAGAGATAACCTTTTTTTTTCACACTAGAACCTGATAGATATTGGGGTAAATATTGAGGGCTGAAAATACAAGTGCTTTTTATAACATGGAATTGTTTAATGCTTATATATTGTTTGGCTGGACATGTATCATGCTGGTCAAAGTCAGTGGAAAGTCCTCTGTTGTTTTAACTGGGAAGAAAGGTTTCTAAGTTTTCTTTTTACAAAGTTAACCTGTCCAGTGTGTAGAGAGGGGAACGCAAAACAGCAAGATGAGACCTGTCAGGTAGGTTACTGTGGGAGTAACAAAAGAGAAATATAGAGACCAGCCCAGCCAACTAGAAATTTAAGAAAAAGCACATTAGAGGTTACTGGAAAAATGCATAATCATTATGGCCTTGATCCAGCAAATCACTTAAGTATATGCTTAACTACAAGTAGATGAGAAATTGACTTCAATTGTTCTATCACAAGCCTAACATTAAGCATATACTTAAGCATTTTGCTTGATTGGGAGCTAATCACACTGTTTAGTGAGGGTTAGTTAGATGATAGTGCCCTTTAGCACAGTGTTTTGAACACCACATAGCTAAGAACCTGGTGTCCAGGCAGAAAAGTATTCAAAAACAGCTAATCAGATGTATATCAAAAAGGAAGAATTTGCTCTGCAAATAAGATTCAGAATAATCAATAAGTTAAAACCTACGCTGAGGTGGAGAAATTTTCCAGTGGTACATAACATTTACTGTGAGATGCATAGCATTTACTGTGACATTCTCATATCTGATAGATTTACACTATGAAAAAAAAAGCTCAGTGAATAAAGAGAATTACTGTACTCATCAAGCGTAGGCAATAAATAATACAGCAGAAAGTTTTCATTGAAAATATATTACCGCTAGGAACCAAAGAGGCGACAGTTATAATTTTTTCTGTTATGCCAATGTCCAAGCAAGAGACCATCAGAATCCTGGATCCCATCCAGAGTGCTGCCTATTCAAATCAGGTCATGGCACCTCATGTACAGCCACCCAAGGATTCCCACATGCCTAAGTTAGCAATTTCAAGCATGGTACATGCTCTTATGCCAAGGCCAGTCATGCCTGGATCCCCTGGCACAGCTTGCTGTGTACCTGTAGTGCTGTGGGGAATGCTGCTTTGAAAGCTGATGGTGTTCTTTTCTGCTATATCCTCCCAGAGACAAGACAAATGAAACTCCAACTCCCATGTTTGCCTTTGGCCATTTAGCCATCCTATGGGTATTTTTTTAGCTCTGTTTTTCTTTTTTCTTACTTGTCATTGCTGCTTGCAGTAATTTCACACATGCGTGCCCTAATACTGCTGCAATTAAAACAATTAAACTACTTGGAATAAAGCAAAATGAAAAGGCCTCATAGATAACGTGTTCATTGGACTTGAAAATTTCTTCTGTCCTACTGGCTGTTTCCTCCTCTTTAGGATGGCTTTTGCTTCAGGGCACTGAATCTGTTTAAGCAGAAGGAGTGAAATTTAAGTTTGGTTCAATGTGTGATTTGCGAGGTGGAATATCAGGTGAGACACTTACATGCTAGGTTGGGATTCAGAACTGTGCTTTTTCATGGGCTTCCTGCCTGGTTTAGCCTCTGTGTATGTTGTTCTCCATCTCTAAGTGTGCAGTCTTGACCTTCCCCATCTTACAGGAGAAGGTTATTTAAGACTGAAAAGTGTGCAAATACTCTGGTATTAGAAACTATGGTGAATTACTGAACTGGCTTTTCTTGATTTTGACCTAACAAGCACATTTTGTAAATTGACTTCAGGACGTATTAAAAGGCTTATATTTTAGTGACTGTGGGGTACAAAGTCTCATCCATTCTGATAACTTTTCCTGTTTGTTTGTGTAGGCACATCCAAAGCAATACACAACCTCCTCAGGCTCCAGTTCCACCCCTAGGATATGTATCTGGAAATCTTATTTCAGATTTGGAAACAGATGTCCCAGATGAGGATGATGATGAGGATGATATTGAAGAAGAAACTGTAGAAATCAGTAGGCCGCTAAGAGGTCTAGAGCATACTCCAGGCTCCAGTATGGACAATCTAGACAGCTCTGTGACAGGTAACCAAATACATTTAACAGTGACACCAACTTGTTCCCGACAGTAAAATACATCATCAGTCAAACACTAAGTGAAAATGTATTCCACTCTATTTCTGTAACATTTAAAATGTGTTAATACTAAACACTAAAGTTAAAGAAGGATTTGAAAATACTTTGCTGCAAAATGATAAGAAAATTCATGAATTTTAAAAAGCTTTAAAGACTTGAAAGAAAACTCAATTATATCTTAGCTTTCATGAAAAGTTCATTCTACGAGAGAAGCAAGGCAGTTACATAAAAAGGAGGGGAAGACCTCAGCTTAAGAATATATTTTGCATAAACCAGGAGCAGCATAAAATGTTATCTTAGAGCACTTTTCAACATTTTGCTGGGTAAATACTTTCACAGATGAACACAGGGAAGTTAAAGACTTCAGAGTAAGTATAGTTAGATCAACACATTTATTTGCAGAGTAAATACAACACATGTAGGAAAACGTGTCTTTTATACCTGCTTTGTACTGTTGAATTTAGTAATTGTTCCCTTTCAGAAAGGCTATTTAATTATTCTGACACTCCTTCCTTCACTACTTCTTTCCCTTTGCATGCCTTGGAAAGCTACAACATTATCAAGGGGGACCTAGAAAAGCTAAACTAATGTGCAGAATCTGAAGGAATAAAATTGCTGTTGGTGAAACATAGGCAATGAAAAATTTTCTCTTTTTTTCCTCATACAGGTTTTATATGGATATAATGTACTTTTTGTAAGCATCAGTGCATTTCCCTTTAGGTTGAACTTCAGCCTCTATGTAATATACTGTGTCCATAATGTGCAGGTTACTGGAGACCCAAATGTCCCAGTGTCCATAGCTCCTGAAAGCTCTTGGGTGCTGCTTCAGTTTTTTATCTGAGTGGATGAACACTGATTGTTAGTTGTACCTGAAGGGGGACTTATTCTGTCCAACTTACTACCATAGTGCCACTGAGTTCCAGGTCACTGTTCTGGACCATTGAAATTCTAAGGATTTTGCACCCTTATTTAAATATTGCTATTCTGAAAACGCATATGACAGTATTGGAACATCAATACCTGCAATTTTTTTCCTTTTCCCTTGTTGAACTAAATAGTGTGTAGCTTAGTCCCACTTTCCAGGTTTTCCTTCACCCTAGGGCCAGACTGCTTGCCAATCTAATTAAGATTTAAGAATTGTTATCTCTGTTGCTGAGATTTGAAATCCAGAATCAGCTGAAGGCCGTAGAGTTAAAGTTTAAATCCCTGAATTGAGAAGGTTAACTTATTAGTGCATGAGTATGTTAAGTCACTTTGCTTGAATTTGTAGTGTAATCTCCTTCAGGCTATAATTCTGCATATTTTTGCATATCTTACTAATGGCTCAGAAGCCTTTCCATTAGGAATGCAGTAAGGGTTTTGCACTGGTAATATGGCAGTAAATAAAAATATATCAGCTTGGTATATATTTTCCATTTGGTATGTATTAATATGCCAGTGTTGATATATCTGTAAGTTAGGAAATGAATGTTTTTCACATATTCACCTTGTGTTTTGGACCACCCTACCTAGGACAAATAAGGAGTAGCTGTATTCCTACTACAATTTGTAGATTTCTGTGCTTATTACAATTTAGCCTTTTATGAATAACATTCAATCTTGTTATAATTGTTATAAATCTTGTTTAATTATTAGAGCATTAAATGTCTAATTACTGGAGTGTTAAAAACTTCCTGATACATTATTTTGGAAGAAATTGGGCAGAGCCTGGTAATGTAGACTAGGAATGTACTTGAGATGACCTAAATGCACTCCCACTCATCATTGCCACTATCTTGATGTGGCCTCATCCAGCTGAAAATTAAGGGTTTTCTTTTGCCTTGTCTTTTGCTTGTTTAATTACTAGCTGGATCTGTTCCTTGATGTGGTTCACCTTATCGCAAGGTGTTTGCTGGCACTGCAGGAAGCAAATGTGCAGCTGGAAGAGATGCAAAATGATAGATTGCCCCTATAGTACATAGCCTACACTTAGGTTGGCCTAAAAACAGTTAGGGAACTATAGCCTTATTAAATACACCCAAAATGTTAGTCTAAATGATCTGTGAAATGGCACAATTTCCAAATAACAAAACTACTTCTGTTTTCCTCAATTACTATATGGGTGAAACCTTGAATTTCAGAGGGTGTGTTTTGGGCTTGTTTTTTTCTAGGGGTGAAAGGAAATTGCTTATTATACTTGAGTAATTTTTTTTTTCTGAAAGAGA